GCTCCATCGGTGGGGTGGTTCACGTGCATCCACACCCCGAGACGTGGCCATGTACCGTGCCCTATGGACCCTTCGTTGCCTTTGCGTCTGGGTGTGTGGCTCATCCTTCCCCCCAGCGCACGGGGCTCTGGTCTAACGCCTGCTGCCTTTTCCACAGCCCGATGCTCACGTACCGCGTAGATGCTGACAAGGGGTTCAACTTCTCTGTGGGTGATGATGCCTTTGTGTGCCAGAAGAAGAATCACTTCCAGGTCACGGTCTACATCGGCATGCTTGGAGATCCAAAGTATGTGAAGACCCCCGAGGGCCTGAAACCCTTAGAGTGCTTCTACCTGAAGCTGCACGGAGTGAAGGCAAGCGGGAGCAAATCCAGCGGGGAGAAGGGGCGCTTGGCAGACAGCTGGGATCAGGCAACACCACGTCTTCGTGGGTTGAGTTGTAGGGGAACATGTAGGAGATTGCTGAAGGCCAGAACAAGGCAGGTCTTGAAATACAAGTCCTAAGATGGACTCAACCACTGCCTGGGTGTCTTCAGGGCTGCCTCTCTCTCACCCTTGGCTCCGGAGGTGTATAGGCACTTTGGGAAGATGCTTTCGCCCTCAGCTTCCCCGTGCCAAGGGAGGCACCCGTGCTTGGACAATGGCCACACTCAAGTTGGGTGTTGCACGTCAGTTGTCCTGAGTCATAGGAGGGCTGGGCAGACAGCTGGCAGAGAAGGAGGTGGGAAGGGTTTCTGCTCTTGGTCACATACCCAAATCTTTCTCTCCAGCTAGAGGCCTTGAACCAGTCGATCAATATAGAGCAGTCGCAGTCTGACCGCAGCAAACGGCCCTTCAACCCTGTCACGTGAGTATTGCCCCGGGTACGTTGGTGTCGGGGCAGTGCTCCTGGGGAGCAGGCAACAGGAGAAGGAGGGGGGGAAAGGGGCTGAGTTGGAGATCTCAGGATAGTACTGGGGGTGTCACGCTCTCCAGTTTTCTCCTCTGTTTCCCACAGCAAAGTTGTCCTCTCTTTACATTCCCCACTCTGCTCTGTGCCCAGGTCATAGACCTGCCTTGGCGGAGCAGGCCAGGAGATGGCCGTTCCCCAGAAAAACCTCCTCTGCAGCGATGTCCTCACTTGCGCCTCTGTTTTCCATTCCTCAGGGTCAACCTGCCTCCAGAGCAGGTCACCAAAGTCACCGTGGGGCGGCTGCACTTCAGCGAGACCACAGCCAACAACATGCGGAAGAAAGGCAAACCCAACCCAGACCAGAGGTGAGGAGCACGGACACCTTCTCCAAGCCGTTCTGAGCACTCAGGGCCTGTGGATGTGCCCGTCCCCGGGTTGGGGAGTGTGGTTGGAGGGAGGGGGACATCGGGGATGGGTCCTGAACTGGCCATCCTTGTCTGTGTGGAGCAAAGGAGGTGTCTGCTATGGCCACAAAAAGGGTCTCCCCTCCTCTGCGAGGGGCTGGGGACAGTGCCTGTGCAGGGGTTGTGCCAAGCCCACCGTGACAGCTCGGTGCCTCGGCCTCTGGAGTTCCCCGTGCAGGACGGCACCCTGACCTCTCTCCCCTCTTGGCAGGTATTTCATGCTCGTGGTAGCCTTGCAGGCCCACGCGCAGAACCAGAACTACACGCTCGCAGCCCACATCTCTGAGCGCATCATCGTCAGAGTAAGTCCCTCTCTCCTCCCTCAGCCTCTGCAGGAGCCCCGCGGTCCTTTGCTGGACATCCCGGGCCGTCCTCCTTCCTCCCTCTGGCTTCTCAGTGCTTTCTCTCCTTCTCCAAACTCTTACTGCCTTGCTCGTAGCCATCCCTGTCCACGCCTGGGTTCTGGCTCCAGCCTTTCCACACCCGCTTCATCGGAGCAGCCTCAGGGCACGCAAGAACCTGTTGCAGGGCAGGGAAGGAGTCCCATTCTCCCAAGGCTGGACCAGTGTCCGGGATAGAGCTGTTGGGAGTGAGGGAATGGTGTTGTTGGGACTCTGCAGGAGGGATGAGGCCCCCCCCGATGCAGGAGGACTGGGTACCCTCCCAGGGCAGCCCCTTTTGCATCTGCTAAGGCAGCAGTGCTCAAATGCAGCGGAGCAGGAAGAGATGGGCACCATCCCCAGGCTCGCCCAGGGCTCTGCGAGAGCGCTCGGCTCCGAGACACGGAGGCAGGGGGTAAAACACAAAGAGAGGGACCTCAGGGTCTGCAGACGAGTCAGTCCACCCTGAATTATGCAGCCTCCAGGGTGCCCAGCACAGAACCGCGGGGAGCTGGAGGCAGCCTGGAGTGCCCCGGCTCAGCCTGCGAGTGGGGCACAGAACCACGGCAGCAGGGCAGAACCCCGGGGTTGGGGACCCGGGAGCAGCAGCCATGTCCCTTGGTCTCCTGCTGTCCTGTGTGGTTTTGGTTGGGGTCGTTGGAGCAGCTCTGATGGCGGAGATAACAGACAGCTAGGATATTCCTTTCGGGAGAGGAGGAGAGCAGGCATAGCCTTGGTTCCTGCAGCGAGAGGCTTAGACGGGGCCAGCAGACGGGCTGCCTGTGCTGTAAGGGCAGGCTGGGATCTGTTCCCAGGGCTGGCCGTGGACCCCTGCCGCTTTGCCTTGTGCTGCTGCAAAGCTCCGTCTCGCACCTCCCTGGCCTTGCTTGGCCTCCGCTGGCTCTGCCCTGTCCGTCCGACTCCTTGCTGTCCCCGCCGTGGGGCCGGGACTGCCAAAGCTCAGCCTCCCAGTCTTCCTAGGGCTGCAACTCCG